CTGCCCCTAAGACTGTTATGGGTGCACACTTTTGCCTCATGTGGAACGCTGGACGAAGTTACCTATGGAATGGGAGGGAAACTGGGTTAAAGGGACACTGGCGGTTATGGTTCTTCTAGCCTCCACTAGTGGGACTTCACCCCTGGATCTTTCGTCTCTATCGGAGACTACAGGTTGGCCCCACACGTGTGTCTTGGCGGATGAGCGGCATACTCTAAGAACGATTCAATATGAGTCATCATACTGAAGCAAATAGCGATCAATTGACGTTGGCGAACCCACCTCCACAACCTCCCAGTGTCCTGTTGTAAGAAGCGGTTAAGCGCCATGGATCTGGTTTCAATCACACGCTTAGATCGGGAGCCGAACAGCTTACGCGGTGGGAATTGCTTGAACACAAACGCGAAGCGATCGGACGGGGACAGAGGCGAACAGTGACGACGATGCGAGCTAATGCTGGCTGTACTGGCGCTGGAGCTGATACTGGAGCTAGCGGTGTAGCTGTCCTCGGAGCTGTCCAGCTCTGGACTAGTCAGGTACGCGGCCATCTGATCGTCAATCAAAGACAAGAGCTTTTCACGCAACTCGCAGAATTCCGAGAAGCATCGACGGATGTGCCAGCTCTGTCGCGTTTTAGTGTTTTCCACGCGTAAGATGTACACTGTAGACGGCTTGAGAGCCAACGCTGACGTGATTGACGCCGATAATGAATGTGTAGCGGCGTTCATGATCTGTGTGAATGGCGGCGAGTGGGAAAATGTGGACGGTGGATTGCTGGCGATTGGGAGCAGTTCGTTGACAGGAGGTTTCGTTCGAGAACTGGAAGGCCTTTCGACTCGCTTGTGTCCCAGTTACAGACACTGGATTCTAACGCGTCACGGCAAACTGATGCAGATAAACGGTTGTCTGCAAGGTGTTCCGCCTTCGGAGGAGATTGAAAAATGGTGACTGCGAGTTGAACGTCCGCTATTCGGGGGGCTCAGGTGAGACCATATCACGGGCCAGAGACCGACTGGACTGCAGTCGGATAGAAAGGAAACAGGCTTACACGAAAAGTTCTCAAGCTGTCGAAGTTCCTCGCGATTTTCTAGCGCCAGTCATTGTTTAAAAGGGTTAACGGCTCCATTTGAGACTTTTAACGGCTACCGGTACCTCCAATGTACCAGATATTCGATACCTTCAAGTCGTAAGGTAAACGTGCTTGAAAAGGCGCATTAGTCAACAGGTCGGAACGTTCCAACGTTGCGTCCGTGAGTCTTTGCACGTGCAAGTCTGGCGTAACCGCGGTACACTGCAAATATTTGACCGCAAAAACGCTGATATGTGACCAGCGCGCAACGCGCTCAGTGATGTCTTGACGCGAGGAAGGTGTGTGTCGTGTCATCTCATCAATCCAGATTAAGTTTTAACTTGTCAAGGACAGCCTAAGGTTGCTGCGATCCAAGGAGACGTTCGGAAGGCAAACTTCAACTTCTAGGATACACATTTGTTTACCTATATAGCTCTCATGCTTTTCGTCATGCTGCAGTACTACTGCAAGTATGGGGAGTACCGAGAAATGTTCCTTGCCGCGAAAAAACGCGCTTACGATTGAATGGTGCGTACCTGCTTTCGTTTCGATAGCTGTCTTTGGCTTGTGATCATTTGACGTAGTGGAGGCTGAAGCTTCGATGAATTTGCTTCCTTCTATCGATCCATACGACTGGATAAGGCTTGTCACGGAATCCATTCTCCTTGTTTAATCGTAACGTCATGGATTGTCTTCCTAAACCACCATTTTTGCCAAGCGGTCTGACCATCGACTCTCCTAAGATTCGATGGAAGGCCAATGCTGGTTAAGCTTCAAGGATGAGGTGGGCGTTCTTCGTCGGCCGATATCAGAACGATGGCCGCCAGCTATGGGCCA